AATCTCCCTGATCAGAAAATTTGGGAGATCACTGAGTTACAGGATGTTACAGTACAGGTGTGCTTATGTCTTGAGTCCTCAGTGACCTTGAAAGGCTAGGGCCAAAATGTTGGCTGTCCTTGTGGCCCTCCTCCTTACTAATTTTTGGTCTGCAAACTTAAGTTGTTAACCCTCCAAAAGAGAAGCTTAATAATATTATTACCCTATAACACAGGCAGTTGAGCTTAACCTCACTATCTGTCTGAATATCAAACGTCATAGACATAAAATGAAACAGGTATTTTCCATCAAGTATTGATATGTTAAACTTTAAATCCCTACAGAATGTGAAGAAAAAAATAAAAAGTAAAAAAAAAATTAAAAATAGGAATAATCACATACTTTTACACAGAAATTTAGAAATCTAACCATATACAGCATTGTAGTAGGACAATCCTATGACATTCTTTTTCTCTCTCATTTTCATTTATTACCATTTTTTAGAAACAAACATTACTTGAAAGACAGTGTAGCAGTAACTGATATGACATTAGAAACAGTATGTATTTAGAAGACCAGAATGACAGGCATTACAAGCAAGGCCCTAGTTTTACACATTGCTATCTTCAGTGCAGTTGCAGGGTTCACAGATATCAGCATATATATAGTTAGTAAGAATGAGAATCTTGGGACCAGGGAGATAGCTCAGTAGAATAAGTGCTTGCCTGGCAAGGTTCCACAAAAAAAAAAAGAATGAGAATCTTACCAATTAACTGCTAGTTTCCAAAACATGCTGAAGATTCTTAGTATCACTGCCTTACCCACCTTGTGCATATAAATGTATGGTTTTTACTCCTGTCATGTTTCCTAGTTTTTCTCCTTGCCCTCTCTTCATTGTTTAATGCTTCAGTTCTTGCTTTCCTTTTAATTGTGTTATATCTTTCTCTCTTTTTTGTTTTGTTTTAAGTTCTTACACTAGAGAGACTACATGATATTTACACATGTGGGTCTGGTTTATTTCACTTACAAGAATAGCTTCAAGTGACATCAACTTAAATATAAAGGCTTCAAGATTTTCATTCTTTATAGCTGAGAAATACTCTACAGTATAAAAATACCACATCTTTTTCATCTACTCCTCAGGTGATGGGCATCTTGATTGTTTCCAAGATTTGACTAATCACACATTGTGCTGCTATAAACACAGGTGCACACATACCAGTATGATGTGACATTTTCAGTTCCTCTGGAAAAATTCCCAGTAGGGGAATAGCTGTTTTAAATGGGATTTCCAAATAAAAATAAAAAATAAAATAAAATAAAAATAAATGGGATTTATAGTACTAATTTTTTAAGAAATCTCCATATGATTTCCATAATGGTTGCACCAGTCTGCGTTTCCACCAGCAGTGGAAAAGAGTTCTTTTTTTCCCACAGCCTCTCCATCATAGGTTCTTGTTGATTTCTTTATGATAGTCATTATTTGTGGGGTGAGATGGTATCTCAGTGTTGTTTTAATTTGCATTTCACAAATGGCTAGTGATGTAGAGCCTTTTTCCATAAATTTATTCGCTTCTCTAATTTCACCCTCTCAGAAGTGTGTGTCCATCTTGGATGCCCATTTCTGGATTGGGTCTTTAAATTTGGGGCCCTAATTATTTTAGTGCTTTATAAATTCTAGACAGAAGACCTTTTTCTGTGTGCTTATTAGTTAACTTTTTTCCAAATTTGTGGGTTGTCTTCTCATTTTGTTGGTAACTTCTTTTGACATGCAAAAACTTCTCAATAAGAGGAAACCCCCGTTGCTAATTCTTTCAAGTGTTTCCCGTGCAATTTGGTCTTTGTTCATGAACTCTTTGCCTACCCCTATGTCTTCAGGAGTTCCTCCTACTTTCTATTCCAGGAGATTTACTGTTTCTGTTTTAATGTTTAGATCTTTAATCCATTTTGACTTTAGTTTAGTGCATGCTGATAGACCTAGGTAAAGTTTTAGTTTTTGGCATGTAGACAGCCAGTTTTTCCAGCACCATTTGTTAAAGAGGCTATCTTTCTTCCAGTGAGTATGTTTGGCCCCTTTGTCAAATATAAGGTGGCTGAGTGTGTTTGCAGTAGCTTCAGCATCTTCTAATTTATTCCACTGATCCTCAGGTCTGGTTTTTTTTTCCCAATACCATGCTGATTTTATCACAGTAGCTTTGTAATATAATTTCAAGTAAGGAATTATGATGCCTCCTGCATTGTCTTTGTTGCCCAGGATTGCCTTTGCTATTCTAGGTCTTTTCTGGTTCCAAATAAATTTTAGGAATGATTTCTCTAGGTCTTTGAGGTATGTTGCTAGTAGTTTGATAGGGATGGCATTAAATCTGTACAACAATTTTGGGAGTATGGCCATCTTCACAATGTTGGTTCTTCCTATCCAGGAGCATGGAATATCTTTCCATTTTCTGAAATTCTCTGCGATCTCTTTTTTCAGAGTACTATAATTTTCATTGAATAGATCTTTGACATCTCTAGTTAGATTAATTCCTAAGTATTCATTTTTTGTGGTGCTACTGTAAAAGGTATTGTTTCTCTAATATCAATCTCAGTGTGTTTGTTGTCTCTTTAGAGGAATGCTATTGCCTTTTGGGTATTGACTTTGTATCCTACTATGCTACTGAATTTTTGTATTAATTCTAGTGGCTTCTTGATGGAGCTTTTTGGTTCTTCCTAAGTAAAGTATCATGTCATATGCAAATAATGATAGTTTTCTTCATTACCTATTCTTATTCCTTTTATTTTTCTCTCTTGTCTAATGGCTCTAGCTAATGATTCCAGAATTATTTTGAATAGGATTGGTGATAGAGGACATCTTTGTCTTGTACCAGATCTGAGAGTAAATGATTTGTTTCCATATGACCAGTTTCTGAGCAAAGTGTATAAACAAGTGTGTGGCATGGGTAATTTTATGTATGTATGTATGTATGTATGTATGTATGTATGTATTTTAGTACCGGGTCTACAGGGTCTCATTACACAGATCAGACTCCTAGTGATTTTCCTGTTTTCAGCCTCTCAGGCGCTGGGATTACAGTCACGAGTTACCACGCCCAGTCTCAATCGGCTTCTCAGGTATGGGACCAGCATAGCATGCTGGAGACTGAACCTTGGCTGTGCTCTATCTAAGCAAGGCACGGATGATCTTAAAAGAAATACACAGTACTTTTTTCCTTTTACGCATTTCTGCTCAGTGAAATTTAGACTGTATTAATTATGGAAACAGTCATAATAAATCACAAGATCCCCCATAATAGAATATGAAGTTATTTTAGAAGACCATAATATTTATCAAGCTTTTACACAAAGACAAAGGTTAGTCTTCCTAAAATCCCTGAGATTTAAGAATTTTTTGAAATGAGTCAATACAAATAGATTATCTGTGATGCAAAAGTAATTATATGGATGTTTTCACTATTATAAAATAAAATAGTTAGAATAAATAGATTATAGATATTATCAGGTAAAATTCTAATAATTCCACACATTAAACAAAAGATCTTATGTTAGGAAAAAGAAATACAGCATAGACTTTTATAGAAAATTCCTCACAAGTTATTTCAGTATATTTTAATTGTAAAATGTGGTAAGAAAGTGACAATAATTTTTCCTTAAATTACACACAATAATTTGATCTTTCTTAAAACACACTTCATATTTTACATTCTCAAAGCATATAGATTGTGTATTATGCTGTCTCTTCTTCTTTTCTTTTTTTTTTTTTCCCCAGTACCAGGGTTGACTCAGGACCTTGAGGCTTGCCAGGAAGGCACTTATTGTACTAAGTTATCTCCCCAACCCCTAGTTATGTTGTTTTCAATTTAATTTATTTTTTTTTATTATTATTTATTTATTTATTTATTTATTTTGTGTGTGTGTG